TGCTCAGGCTGGAGTGCAGTGGCATGATCTTGGCTCACTGCAACCTCTGCCTCCTGGGTTCAAGCAATTCTCCTGCCTCAGCCTCCCAAGTAGCTAGGTTTACAGGCTTTCACCACCGTGTCCAGCTACTTTTTGCATTTTTAGTAGAGACGGGGTTTCCGGTATGTTGGCCAGGCTGGTCTCGAACTCCTGACCTCAAGTGATCCGCCCACCTCAGCCTCCCGAAGTGCTGGGATTACAGGCATGAGCCACTGCACTGGCCAGAGCTTTATTATTTTATTGGATAAAGTAATTTCTTGGAAATTTCCTCCAATCTAATCTCCTTTAGTTTCTTATTGTTTATTTTGGCATCACCATTCAATATTTTGGCCCCAGGCAATAGTAAGACATACCACTAAATTCTTGGGAAGATAGATTCTTTTACTGTTCAATTCCCAAGATAATTAGGAAATTTAAAGGTGATTAAATTTTAGTTTATACGACACTTAAAATCATGAAGGCAGTGTGTTTTAATTCCATTTAGGGCATCTAACCATCAACTTTGGCTTTCTTCCTGGCTCCCTGACTTACCCTGTCTTGGTAATGAGTCCTTACTCGTTGATGTAGCCTCATTTAAAGCACTCTTAAGTTTTCAGGGAAGTAAAATATAAATGAAATAGGAATTGACATTGTTACATTCAAACCCTAGTAGCACTTCTCTCCTCCCCCATCCAAACTGCATGACAGTTTTCACCAAGATGGCAGCTTGCACATACCTGTTTAATGGTATTTTTCTTATTTATAAACTTGGACAGTAGTAAGATCTATTCAATACTGAGGTATAGTAGCTGTGGCCCTGATTACAGTTTGAGTCTACAGTTGTTTTTTTCTTAAGTCATTGGTCTGAATGAGTTCGATCAGTCTTTAAGTAGATAGAGAGAGGCTTCCCCAGATACCTTGGTGGAACCTGTGGTCAGGGGTCTAGTCTCCCCTTTACAAGTCTGAGAGCTTAGTTTGTCAGTGAACCTGGATATAACCAGGTCCTTTGGCACAAATTCACACTAGTTAAACCCATACCAGTAAGTTTTAAAACCAGAACCCCAAGTTATTAATTTACAAAGGGAGGTCTACTTTTTCAGTGTGTATTCATCTCTACTGTTCATGATACTCTTTTCCTGGGAAAACGATACCTAAGAAGTTAAACTTCAAATTAGAAGGCTTATTGGTGAGCAAGGAATCAGAGGGAATGAGGTCAGGAGTTCAAGACCAGCCTGGCCAACATGGTGAAGCCCCATCTCTACTAAAAGTATAAAAATTAGCTGGGCATGGTGGGGTGCACCTGTAATCCCAGCTACTCGGGAGGCTGAGGCAGGAAAATTGCATGAACCTGAGAGGCAGAGGTTGCGATGAGCCGAGATCGCACCACTGCACTGTCCAGCCTGGGCAACAGAGCGAGACTCTGTTTAAAAAAAAAAAAAAAAAAAGATGTTTATCTTTCTTGGACAAACTGGATAACCCTATCAAATTCTAGCTCTTTGGCCTCCCTTTTCTAGACCACAAGCAGAAAACTCCTTTTCTATATAAAATATTTTCCTTACATGTGAACCCCTCTCTACTAAAAATACAAAAAATTAGCTGGGTGTGGTGGCGGCGCCTGTAATCCCAGCTACTCCGGAGGCTGAGTCAGGAGAATTGCTTGAACCCAGGAGGCAGAGACTGCAGTGAGCCGAGGTCGCGCCGTTGCACTCCAGCCTGGGCAACAAGAGTGAAACTCTGTCTCAAAAAGTAAAATAAAATAGCTACAACATTTGTTTTTTTTTTTTTTGTTTTGTTTTTTTTGAGACAGTCTCACTCTGTTGCCCAGGCTGGAGTGCAGTGGTGCAATCTCGGCTCACGGCAACCTCTGCCTCCTGGCAACCTCTGCTTCCTGGGTTCAAGCGATTCTCCTGCCTCAGCCTCCCGAGTAGCTAGGATTACAGGCGCCTGCCACCACACCTGGCCAATGTTTTATATTTTTAGTGGAGATGGGGTTTCACCATGTTGGCTAGCTGCTCACCCCCCGCCCGGTGCCGCTTATCTGCACTGAGGAGACTGGATCAAGCAGAATCTAACACCTAACATGTAACCCTTCTACAAAAAAAAAAACTAGCCCATCGGCCTGTAGCTACTCGGACTACAGGAATGGTGACCGACACTCTGACTGAGATCCGGCCACTGCACTCCAGCCTGGGCTACAGAGCAAGACTCTGTCTCAAAAAAAAAAAAAAAAAAAAAAAAAAAAAAAAAAAAAAAAAACTCCTGACCTCAGATGATCCACCCGCCTCGGCCTCCCAAAGTGCTGGGATTACAGGTGTGAGCTGCTTGCGCCCAGCCCTTTTTTTTTTTTTTTTTTTTTTTGAGATGGAGTCTTGCTCTGTTGCTCGTCTTGGAGTGCAGTGGAGCAATCTCAGCTTAACACAACTTCCACCTCCCGGGTTCAAGAGATTCTCCTGCCTCAGCCTCCCAAGTAACTGGAATTACAGGTGCCTGCCACCACTCCTGGCTAATTTTATTTTTTAGTAGAGACGGGGTTTCACCATGTTGACCTGGCTGGTCTCACACTTCTGACCTCAGGTAATGCGCCCACCTCGACCTCCCAAACTGCTGGGATCACAGGCGTGAGCCACCGCGCCCAGCCCACAGTATGCGTTTTTGTTTCATCGATCATTTCACAGACTGTGTGTGTGAGACAAAATAGCTGTGGCCATATAGATAAGATATGGCAGTTTCTTATGATTTCAGTACTTAATATTTACCATCTTTTCAGGCAAGTTACTGGTTTTTCTTGTTGTTGTTGTTGTTTGAGATGGAGTTTCGCTATCGTTGCACAGGCTGGAGTACAGTGGCACAGTCTCAGCTCACCGCAACCTGCGCCTCACAGGCTCAGGCAATTCTCCAGCCTCAGCCTCCAAGTAGCTGGGATAACAGGCATGCGCCACCACGCCCGGCTAATTTTTGTGTTTTTAGTAGAGACGGGGTTTCTCCATGTTGGTCAGACTGGCTTTGAACTCCCCACCTCAGGTGATCCGCCCCCCTCGGCCTCCCAAAGTATTGGGATTACAGGTGTGAGCCACTGTGCGTGATACTTTGTATCCATTATACAAGACTTCTTGGTCGCTAGAAGAATTTTTTTGAGACAGAGTCTCGCTCTGTTGCCCAGGCTGGAGTGTAGTGGCGCGATCTCAGCTCACCACAACCTCCACCTCCTGGGTTTAAGTGATTCTCCTGCCTGAGCCTCCTGAGTAACTGGGATTACAGGCGTGCACCAAGATGCAGGCCAATTTTTGTATTTTTAGTAGAGACGGGGTTTCACCATGTTGGCCAGGCTGGTCTCGAACTCCTGACCTCAAGTGATCCACCTGACTCCGCCTCCCAAAGTGCTGGGATTACAGGCATGAGCCACCGCTCCCGGTTGCTAGAAGAATCTTACTGGCCAATTCCATTTGGCGGAAGTCATCATAGCCTCCTGTGTATTTAGTGTTCCTGGGTTAAGGTCCTTCTATTCATGGTAGTTCATGAAATCTCAAAATAATCTCCAAACATAGGTTAGTCCTTGCTCTAACACCTATTCATTCTTGATGGTATATTCCGTATTGGCACGTTATCTTAACTCCCCAGTCTTTTCCCTCTGTACACGAGCTATTGAATTAATCAGTGTGCTCTCATCAGGCCAGTTCAGGAAAAACACACTTCCTTTTTTGATAGTCTCGCCCCTTGGAGTGACTCTTCTTCCTGGAGGCACTTTTTAGAAACAGTATCAATGGAAAAAAGTAAACAGATGGCTTCTTTTGCCTGAAAAACAGTAGTAAGTGGGTTATAATATCTTTGTTTTTTAATCATGTCTTTATTTTTTAGCATGGGGCTTCACATGTTTCCTATTCTGAGTTATCCCAGATCCATAATAATTGCTATATATTATAAGCCCTTATTTGCCAAAAGGTACTAGTACTATGTGCTAGTAGTCTCCATTTCGTTGGTTTTTTATTCTCAGGGTCTGTCATCCATTTTTCCTGACTTTTCTTGCTGCCATAGTCTTTATCTTGCTTTTATTCAGAGTTGACTGCTTTGTATTTGGTATGTTCCAACTGCCATTTTTTTCTTCTCACCCTTGATCCAAATTTGATTTCTAATATTATATAAGATAAATAAGAATGCAAAACTTACTGCTCTTTGACTAATTAGAACATGGAAATAATTTGAGTTTTAGAGAATAATAAAGTTTTTTTCTTCCATTTACAAAAGTGAGAAAACTTTGGGAAAAAAAAAAAGACTAGAAAAGAGAAAATAATCACGCCATAGTCTACCACCTGAAGAAACCACCCTTGCTGTGTTCCTCCATCTTTCCCCCGTGCATGTGTGTTTGTATGTTTTCAGCTTGTAATCACATTGTGATAATGCTGTGATGATTCCCATACATCTTTAGTAGACTTGGTTGGAAATGCATTGTGTGGGGCAGGTGCAGTGGCTCACACCTGTAATCCCAACACTTTGGGAGGCCAAGGCACCAGACTGCTTGAGCTCAGGAGTTTGAGACCAGCCTGGGCAATATGGGGAAATCCTGTCTCTACAAAAATACAAAAATTAGCTGGGCGCGGTAGCACACACCTGTAGTCCCAGCTATTCAGGAGGGTGAGCCAGAAGGATCGGGCGCACCTTGGAGGTCGAGGCTGCAGTGAGCTGTGATAGTGCCACTGCACTCAGCCTGGGCAACCAAGTGAGACCCTGTCTCAAAAAAAAAGAAAAAAAATGCATCATGTGATTTTAAATAGATCTTTATAGGTGTTAGGTGTTCAAAAGTATTTGTTAAATGAAATGATTGAATCCTTACTCCTCTCTGTGCCTCAGTTTTCCCATTTCTTAAACGGGGAAATAATAATTTACAAGATGTTTTGTGAGGATCAGTGGAAAACAAACTAAATGTTGGAAGTGGCTAGGTCATGTCAAAACTCTACTTGCTGGCTATCATATCGCTTTTTTCCCAGAGGCTACTACTTGAGAAGAGGCAGAGGAAAAAGCGCCTTGAGCCGTTTATGGTGCAGCCCAATCCAGAAGCCAGGCTACGGCGGGCGAAGCCAAGGGCCAGTGACGAGCAGACTCCCTTGGTGAACTGTCATGCTCCCCACAGCAATGTCATCTTACATGGTGTGTATTTAGGCAGCATCACTTCCTGCTGGGGTACAGTTTTCACAAACCTAGCAGGCAGGAGGATTCTCAGACGGACCAAAGGGACAATATTATTAGCACCATTACTAGGTACCTTCACAAATCTTTATAAACACATTTGGGGTCTTTGAGGAGAATAAAAGCAATATAATCAGTGCAAGATGCCTTAAGGTTTGTGTCCATTTTAGAACTGTTGTTTTCTTTTCTTTTTTCTTTTTCTTTTTTTTTTTTGAGATGGAGTTTTGCTTTCGTTGCCCAGGCTGGAGTGCAAAGGCAAGATCTTGGCTCACTGCCAACCTCCTTCTCCTGGGTTCAAGTGATTCTCCTGCCTCAACCTCCTGAGTAGCTGGGTTTACAGGCGCCTGCCACCATGCCCGGCTAATTTTTTTGTATTTTTAGTAGAGACGGGGTTTTACCATGTTGGCCAGGCTTGTCTAGAACTCCTGACCCAGGTGATCCACCTGCCTCGGCCTCCCAAAGTGCTGGGATTACAGGCTTGAGCCACCGTGCCCGGCAAGAACTGTTGTTTTCTAGATGCCAGATGAATAGTTTAGAATGACCTATTTGAGGAGTTTTTGATTGTTAAATCATGGCAGAGGTGAATCATGAAGCCAGGAATAGGTAGAGAGCATCCATTCTTCCAATAGATAGTTCAAAGGACCATCTGAGATGGTAAGGGGTGGAGGAAGAATAAGATTGTAAGTTCCTCTAAATCAAGCCACCTGAGCTATTGGCTTGGACAGGATCTGTACTATGGAGGACCTATTTTGTTTTCTTGGTCTCATTCTTAAGTTTCTGAAGTACATATAACTTCAGTTACTAAAGTACAAGTACATATTACTTTAGTAACAGAGCATGTTAATAAAATGAACACCAGGCTGGGCATGGTGGCTTATGCCTCTGATCCCAGCACTTTGGGAGACCAGGCAGGTGGATCGCTTAAGGCCAGGTGTTTGAAACTAGCCTGGGCAACATAACAAAATTCCATCTCTACGAAAAAATTAAAAATTAGCCAGGCGTAGTAGCACACACCTGTAGTCCCAGCTACTTGGGGGACTGAAGTGGGAGGATCATTTGAGCCTAGGAAGTCGAGGCTACAGTGAGCTGTGATTACACCACTGCTCTCCAGCCTGGGCGACAGAGTGAGATCCTGTCTCAGAAAAAAAACACCAGTTCTGACCTACTCTCTTAACACATGTTCTTATGGATGTTAAGAAAGGAGGGGAGATAAAGTGATTCGGTAGTTCTTAATTCTGATCACATATGCCAAATCCACCCAACTAAATAGTGAATAATACTTTGCTCCTTTTTTAAAATTCATTTTATTTTGTCCCCTAGGTATTGATGGTCCAGCTGCTGTCCTGAAACCAGATGAGGTTCGCACTCCGTCAGTAAGCTCCCCTGCTTTGGAAGAAGATGAAAACACCGTGGGCACGGCTTCCAAGCCAGGACTTCAGGAGAGTCTCCAGAAGCATGGTGAGGACTGGCAAAGATTTTAAGGCAATTTGTCTTCTTACTCATTTGTCATCTTTTCCTTTTTTTTCATTGTGGTTAACAATCCACATGACTCCAAATTACTCACGGCTTAGGGCCTCACGGGGGTGACAGTATTAAGCATCTTTTACATCTGAATGTTGGTAATTGTCAGCAATGGTAGTATTTATACTATTGCCTGAGAAAAAGAAGATAATTAAATCTAAACTACTAGCTACCATAGATGACTGTTTCTCTCTTTTTGACTATTTTCGGTTCCCACCGTCTCCTTCTGACAGAGTTGTCACTCAGCCCTCTACTCCACCTCCGTTTCATAGTTGGTGATGATTGATAGCCTTTCTTCTAGTTGGAGCTCTCATTTCCATAAATATTCCCATACATTTCAAAGGTCCCTTGTAGTCTTTCCTTTTTAGAAAAATAATTTTATAATGAGAAGGGATTAAGCATCCCCTTTTCAGATGAGAAAACTGAAGCCCAATAATGAATATCTATTGGGTACCTTCTTTGCATTAGGCAAACATTGCTAGGTCCTGGGATATATGAATCAGGAGATTCATATACCACGGAATGGCATAATAAATGAACGTTTAAACAAATTCGTATATTCACTTATTTAGAAAGTATGTTGTGGCCAGGCACAGTGGCTCACGCCTGTAATCCCAGCACTTTGGGAGGCCAAGGTGGGTGGATCACCTGAAGGTCAAGAGTTTGAGACCAGCACATGGTGAAACCCCGTCTCTACTAAAAATATAAAAAAATTAGCCAAGCATGGTGGTGGGTGCCTGTAATCCCAGCTACTCGGGAGGCTGAGGCAGGAGAATCACTTGAACTTCGGAGGCGGAGGTTGCAGTGAACCAAGATTGCGCCATTGTACTCCAGCCTGGGCAACAAGAGTGAAACTTCTCAAAAAAAAGAAAGGAAAAGAAAGTATGTTTTGAGTCCAGGCATGGTGGCTCATGCCTATAATCCTAACACTTTGGGAGGCTGAGGCGGGCAGATCACTTGAGTCCAAGGGTTCAAGACCAGCCTGAGCAACATGGAGAAACCTTGTCTCTACAAAAAATGCCAAAAAAAAAAAAAAAAAAATTGGCTGGGTGCAGTGGTGCACACCTGTAATCCCAGCTACTTGCGGGGCTGAGGCAGGAGGATGGCTTGAGCCTGGGCAGTGGAGGTTGCACTGAGCTTGAGATTGCGCCACTGTACTTCAGCCTGGTTACAGAGCAGGACCCTATCTCAACCAAAAAAAAAAAGTAAAGTACATACCATATCTCAGGCAACATTCTAGGTACTTAGGATACGTGAGTAAGCATGGTTCTTGCCCTCATGGAGTGCTTATTCTAATTGAAGCTTCATGCACTTAAATAGGCTAGAGCTAGAAAATCAAGGTGCTGGCCGGGCGCGGTGGCTCAAGCCTGTAATCCCAGCACTTTGGGAGGCCGAGACGGGCGGATCACGAGGTCAGGAGATCGAGACCAGCCTGGCTAACACGGTGAAACCCCGTCTCTACCAAAAAAAAAAAATACAAAAAACTAGCCGGGCGAGGTGGCGGGCGCCTGTAGTCCCAGCTACTCGGGAGGCTGAGGCAGGAGAATGGCATAGACCCAGGAGGCGGAGCTTGCAGTGAGCTGAGATCCGGCCACTGCACTCCAGCCTGGGCGACAGAGCGAGACTCCGACTCAAAAAAAAAAAAAAAAAAGAAAATCAAGGTGCTGAGAGAGCCCGATGCCTCACTCCACTCGGAGGCTTGGGAGCCTTCCCAGAGAAAGTGATGTTTGAGCTAGTGCCTGATTCAGGAAGAGGTGCTGGCCAGTTCATAATGGCAGCAGCTCAGGGCGTGTGGTCATAGAGTAGGAAGGGGGATGTAGAGAGGTGAGCCAGGACAGGGAGGTAGGCTCTAATTACGTGGGACCTAATAGACCACATCAGGAATTGGGACTTTAGGGAGTAATAGAAGGCTGGGCCTGGTGGCTCATACCTGTAATCCCAGCACTTAAAGAGGCTGAGGTGGGAGGATTGCTTGAAGTTAGGTGTTCAGGACCAGCCAGGGCAACATAGCAAGACCCAGTGTCTAACAAAAATTTTTTTTTAATTAGCTGGGTGTGATGGTAGTTGCAGCTACTTAAGAGATTGTGCTGGGAGGATTGCTCGAGCCCAGCTGATTGAGGATGCAGTGAGCTATGATCATGCCACAGCACTCCAGCCTGGGTGACAGAATCAAACCATGTCTCTAAAAATTAAAAAAAAAAAAAAATTGGGTTGGGCGGAGCAGCTCATGCTTATAACCCCAGCACTTTGGGAGACTGAGGTGGGAGGATTGCTTGAGCCTCAGAGTTTGAGACTACAGTGAGCCAGGATTGGGTTGCTGCCTGTGTGTAGAGTGAGACCCTGTCTCAAAAAAAAATAAATAAAAATTAATTAAAAAAAAAAGATAGGGCTGGGTGCTGTGGCTTATGCCTGTAATCCCAGCACTTTGGGAGACCGAGGCGGGCAGATCACGAGGTCAGGAGATCGAGACCATCCTGGCTAACACAGTGAAACCCCGTCTACTAAAAATACAAAAATTTAGCTGGGGCCGGGCGCGGTGGCTCAAGCCTGTAATCCCAGCACTTTGGGAGGCCGAGACGGGCGGATCACAAGGTCAGGAGATCGAGACCATCCTGGCTAACCCGGTGAAACCCTGTCTCTACTAAAAAATACAAAAAACTAGCCGGGCGAGGTGGCGGGCGCCTGTAATCCCAGCTACTCGGGAGGCTGAGGCAGGAGAATGGCTAAACCTGGAGGCAGAGCTTACAGTGAGCTGAGATCCGGCCACTGCACTCCACCTGGACAAAAACCAAAAAAAAAAAAAAATAGCTGGCATGTGGTGGGCCCTGTAGTCCAGCTACTGGGAGGCTGAGGCAGGAGAATGGCGTAACCGGGAGGCGGAGCTTTCAGTGAGCTGAGATCCGCCACTGCACTCCAGCCTGGGCGACAGAGCGAGACTCCGTCCAAAAAAAAAAAGGAGGCCAAGACAGGTGGATCACTAGGTCAGGAGATTGAGACTACCCTGGCCAACATGGTGAAACCCTGTCTCTACTAAAAATACAAAAATTAGCTGGGCATGGTGGCACATGCCTGTAATCCCAGCTACTCAGGAGGCTGAGGCAAGAGAATTGCTTGAACCAGGGAGTCAGAGGTTGCAGTGAGCAGAGATTGCGCCACTGCACTCCAGCCTGGCGACAGAGCAAGACTCCACCTCAAAAAGAAAAAGTTATTAGAGTGGCTAAGTAATGTGTCATAGATCATACTGCTAGTTAGGAAGCAAACTCGGGCAGAAGAAATCGCATGAGCAAAGGCTAGGTGTAAAAACATGAGATGTCTGTGCAAACGGGGCCAGGTGACCGGAGTGCATGGTGTAGGAAAGGCAATTTGGTGACATGGATTTGAGCACAGCTCTTGGGCCAGCTTGCTTGGTTTTGAATTTCTATTCTGCCACTTCTGGCTGGGAAGAAGAGCATATAACTTCACTTTTCTCTGCCTCAGTTCTCCTGTCTTTAACATGAAGGTGACCATGGTACTTTCCTATTATTTTACTACCACTATTTTTACAACAAAAGAAAGTAAAATATGTGGGTTGGACAGATAGAATGAGTCAGAGCAAAAATGATTTTCTTTTTTTTTTTTTTTTTTTTTTTGAGACGGAGCTCGTCGCCAGGCTGAGTCAGGCCATCTCAAAGCTCGATTCACCATTTCTGCCTCAGCCCCGATAGCTGGACTACACCCCACCCCCCCTAATTTTTTTTTGTAGAACGGTTCACCTTCTCTCCTACCTTGATCCGCCCGCCTCCCTCCCAACGGATACAGCTGACCCCCCCCCCCCAAAATGATTTCTATTAACCAAAGCTAAATTACTTACCTTGAGTCAACTAGCTGAAAAGTGGCAGATTTAGATTTTCTGATTCTTAGTCTAGTTCTTTATCCCTGACTGTAAATACCACATTGTCTGCTTTTGCACTGCTCTGTGAAGTGGCTGTGTTCTTTCTCAGAACTGGCCTTTCAGTGCCAGATGAATTAATGCCTTTTCATGTCCCAACAGGTTGCATCTTGACTATAAAACCCATTAAGTGCTGTTTTGATTGAATTCTAAGAAGTGTCAGTTTGGCAGATTGTGTCCGTATAAGTGGCTCCAATTTGCTTGTCTTGAAAGTTTCAGAGAGATCTTTGATCTCTCAAGACAGATTCATGTGAACTGAGTTCTTGGTATAAAAATGGCATTTGAAAACATAGTAATAGGTGAAGATATCCATACGATAGTGGTATCTCAGGAGTTTTCTGCCTTTTTGCTACCAATAAAAAGGGGGGGTACCAGGTGTCGTGGCTCATGCCTGTAATCTCAGCACTTTGGGAAGCTGAGGTGGGCGGATTGCTTGAGCCCAAGAGTTTGAGATCAGTCTGGGCAACTTGGTGAAACCCCATCTCTACAGAAAATTACCTGGATATGGTGTAGTCCCAGGTACTCAGGAGGCTGAGGTGGGAGGATCACGTGAGCCCAGGAAGTTGAGGCTGCAGTGAGTGGCTGTGATTTGGCCACTGCACTCCCACCTGGGCAGCAGAGTGAAACCCTGTCTCGAAAAATAATAATAATAAGTTAATATTTTAGAGAGCAGAAGGAAAAAATGTCCTTTGCAAAGCAAATAATTTTTTAAGTAACAGCTCTTTTGAGATATAAATTACAGACCATACACCTCTTCCATTTCAAGTACACAATAGGCCAGGCACGGTGGCTCACGCCTGTAATCCCAGCACTTTGGGAGGCAGAGGCAGGCAGATCACCTGACGTCAGGAGTTCGAGACCAGCCTGGCCAACATGGTGAAACCCTGTCTCCACTAAAAATACAAAAAAAATTAGCCGGGTGTGGTGGTGGGCACCTGTAATTCCAGCTACTTGGGAGGCTGAGGCTGAGGTTGGGAGTTCAAGGCCAGCCTGACCAACATGGAGAAACCCCGTCTCTACTAAAAATACAAAATTAGCCAGATGTGGTGGTGGGCGCCTGTAGTCCCAGCTACTCAAGAGGCTGAGGCAGGAAAATCGCTTGAACCCGGGAGGCCGAGGTTGCGGTGAGCCGAGATTGCGCCCAGCCTGGGCAACGAGAGCAAAACTCCATCTCAGAAAAAAATATAAAAGAAAATGCTGGGGGGAATAAAACTGCTGTAGAGAACAATGCATCATTGGATTTTTTTTAAATTGTGGTAAAACATGCATTGTAACATAAAAGTTACCAGTGTTAGCCTGGCATGGTGGCTTGCACCTATTATCCCAACACTTTGGGAGGCCGAGGCGGGCAGATCACCTGAGGTCAGTTTGACCAGTCTGGCCAACATGGTGAAACCCCGTCTCTACTAAAAATACAAAAAAATTAGCTGGGCTTGGTGGCGCACACCTGTAATCCCAGCTACCGGGGAGGCTGAGACAAGAGAATCGCTTGAACCCGAGGGATGGAGGTTGCAGTGAGCCGAGATCGTGCCACTGCACTCCAGCCTGAGCGACAGAGCGAGACTCCATCTTAATAATAATAATAATAATAATTTATTAGTGCTACAGCTCTTTTTAGAATGTCTAGCAAGTTTTCCTGTTTTTACTGAAGCCTTCCCTTCCCTTCCAAATAACAAAAAGTACACTTTTTTTTTTAAAAGAGTTCAGGTGTCATTCTGTCGCCTAGGCGGGGGTGCATAGCTCACTTTAGCCTCAAAATCCTGGGCTTAAGTGATCCACCCACCTCAGCTAGCTAGGATTACAGACACACAGGTACCATCATGCCTGGCTAATTTTTTTTTAAAAAAAACCTTTTTATAGAGACAGATCTCAAACTCGTGGCCTCAAGCAATCCTTCTGCCTCAGCCTCCCAAAGTGCTAGGAGTACAGCCATGAGCCACTGTGCCCTGCCTAAATTTTCTTTTTTTTTTTTTTTTTGAGACAGTCTCACTCTGTTGCCCAGGCTGGAGTGCAGTGGCGCAATCTCGCCCCCTGCAAGCTCTGCCTCCCAGTTTCAAGCGATTCTCCTGCCTCAGCCTCCCGAGTAGCTGGGACTACAGGTACCCACCACCATGCCCGGCTAATTTTTTGTATTTTTAGTAGAGACGGAGCTTCACCATGTTAGCTGGATGGTCTCAATCTCCTGACCTCGTCATCTGCCCGCCTCGGCCTCCCAAAGTGCTGGGATTACAGGTGTGAGCCACCGTACCCAGCCTGCCCTGACTAAAATTTACAAGTTTAATCATTTTAAAGTGTGAGATTCAGTGACATTAAGTACATTAGCAATGTTATGCAACCACTACTACCATCTTCAGAACTTTTTCATCTTCCCAGAGACTTCACACCCATTCAAGATAATTCCTCATTCTCCCCTGCCCCCAGCCCCTAGTAACCTCTATTCTACTTTCTGTCTCTATGAATTTGCCTGTTTTATGTATTTGGACAAAATAGTTGTGTTTAGGGTCACAATAGTTAGGAAGGTTTTAAGAAAAAAAAATTAAAACTATCTTTGTTTCAAAGACCTTTTTTAAACCAGTGTTGGCAGTGCTAACAGTTCTTCCTTTTCTGCTAGATATCTCTGAAAGTGTGAACTTCGATGAGGAGACTGATGGAAGATCCCAGTCAGCATGTTTAGAAAGACCAAATTCTGCATCCAGCCAGAATTCAACTGTATGTAGTTCTGAAACTTCTTCCGTTAGAGCTAACTTGACTCTTTCTCAAACATATCTTCAGTATGTGTGTGTGTGTATGTATGTATGTATGTATTTATTTATTTATTTATTTTTGAGACAGAGTCTCGCTCTGTCACCCAGGCTGGAAGTGCAGTGGCATGATCTCGGCTCACTGCAAACTCCGCCTCCCGGGTTCACGCCATTCTCCTGCCTCAGCCTCCTGAGTAGCTGGGACTACAGGCGCCGCCACCACGCCCGGCTAATTTTTTGTATTTTTAGTAGAGACAGGTTTCACCGTGTTAGCCAGGATGGTCTCGATCTCCTGAGCTTGTGATCCACCCGCCTCGGCCTCCCAAAGTGCTGGGATTACAGGTGTGAGCCACTGTCCCAGCCCTCAAACATATCTTCAGTATTTAAATACCATTAGTGAATGAGGGTTCCTTCAGAAGTTTAAGCTCAAATTTAGCTTATGATCTAATTTTTTCTATCTCAGGTCAGCTATTGTGAGGCTTTGTCCCATTTGCATACTTAGCTCTTCATTACTCTTAATATTCATATCCTTATTTAACTTTTCAGTTTTCCTTATTCTGTCAGAAGACTGAAGACACAGGGGTAAATTACTAAGTTGCTTTGTCCACTAAGTGCTTCTCAAAGAGAATCAGATTTTGAGTCCTGGCCTCTTGTTGCTCATGTATGGCTGTCCTTTCAGGATACAGGCACTTCCTGTTCTGCTACTGCAGCCCAACCAGCTGATAACCTCCTGGGAGACATAGACGACCTGGAGGACTTTGTGTATAGTCCTGCCCCTCAAGGTGTCACAGTAAGATGTCGGATAATCCGTGATAAAAAGGGAATGGATCGGGGCCTCTTCCCCACCTACTATATGTACTTGGAGAAAGAAGAAAATCAGAAGGTATGAGAATTGATTTCTAAGAAAACTCTTGAGAGAGAGAAGAATGTTGTGGGAATAGATTGTTGATGGGCCTTAGGGAACTAACTCTGGTATTAGACCAAGCCAGCTAGAAGTAGATTGTATCTTTCAGTCCCCAGATGCTGTGTTCTCATTTTCTGCAAAGAGCTCATGGTCTAATAGGCAGCAAGCTCTACCCTCCCACAAATAAGAGCTTGATCCACAATGTGGGAAAATGGGCAGGTATTTCTTAATGTAATTTTACAGGTATTTTGTAATGTAAGTTTTCACCTGTCTTCCATGATTTAGTTTTTAGATGCTACTGTTCTTTTTTTTTTTTTTTTTAATGATAAAACATGACATTGTGGAAGGAGAGCGAGTTTTGGGGAATAGGATGAATTAGAAATACGAAGGACATACAAGTTAAATGTCTTGTTTCTCACCCTAGAAATTCTAATTTATTTTATAAGTTTGAGCCAATTTAATATGTGCTGATGAACCTTATTAATTTTGTATTAATACCAGGTCTTAACAGATGCTTTTAAGAGCCTAGAAATGAGATAATGATAGTAGGTATTAATTGTTCTAACCACCATTTATTGAGTGTTTACAACAGACCAACCATGTGCATATATGTTTATATGTATTATCACCTGTAATCATTGTAGCCACCTTGTTAGGTAGGATTTCTCATCTCTGTTTTAAAGATGAGGTAACTAACTGGGGCTTAGGGAGTGACTTACCTACCCCAAATTGCACTAAGTGATGGCAGAGCCAAATTCAAACCTGTTTCTGCATAATTCTAAAGTCTTCCCGCTTAGCCACTGCCACTCTCCTGCTTCCCTGTTACGGTCCTGGTCTAGTAGAGTTTAGGAAGGATGCCTGCATAGGATGGTATTCATGCCATTGAAGTCACAGTGGTTTAAAACAACAGCAATGGGCCGGGCGCGGTGGCTCAAGCCTGTAATCCCAGCACTTTGGGAGGCCGAGACGGGCGGATCACGAGGTCAGGAGATCGAGACCATCCTGGCTAACACAGTGAAACCCCGTCTCTACTAAAAAATACAAAAAAAAAAAAAAAAAACTAGCCGGGCGAGGTGGCGGGCGCCTGTAGTCCCAGCTACTCGGGAGGCTGAGGCAGGAGAATGGCGTAAACCCGGGAGGCGGAGCTTGCAGTGAGCCGAGATCCGGCCACTGCGCTCCAGCCTGGGCGACAGAGCAAGACTCTGTCTCCAAAAAAAAAAAAAAAAAACAACAGCAATATAGAAAAAAAGAGGCTGGGTGCGGTGGCTCAAGCCTGTAATCCCAGCACTTTGGGAGGCCGAGACGGGCGGATCACGAGGTCAGGAGATCGAGACCATCCTGGCTAACACAGTGAAACCCTGTCTCTACTAAAAAATACAAAAAAAAAAAAAAAAAAAAACTAGCCGGGCGAGGTGGCGGGCGCCTGTAGTCCCAGCTACTCGGGAGGCTGAGGCAGGAGAATGGCGTAAACCCGGGAGGCGGAGCTTGCAGTGAGCCGAGATCCGGCCACTGCGCTCCAGCCTGGGCGACAGAGCAAGACTCTGTCTCCAAAAAAAAAAAAAAAAAACAACAGCAATATAGAAAAAAAGAGGCTGGGTGCGGTGGCTCAAGCCTGTAATCCCAGCACTTTGGGAGGCCGAGACGGGCGGATCACGAGGTCAGGAGATCGAGACCATCCTGGCTAATCCGGTGAAACCCCGTCTCTACTAAAAACACAAAAAACTAGCCGGGCGAGGTGGCGGCGCCTGTAGTCCCAGCTACTCGGGAGGCTGAGGCAGGAGAATGGCGTAAACCCGGGAGGCGAAGCTTGCAGTGAGCTGAGATCCGGCCACTGCACTCCAGCCTGGGTGACAGAGCGAGACTCCGTCTCAAAAAAAAAACAACGGCCGGGCGCGGTGGCTCAAGCCTGTAATCCCAGCACTTTGGGAGGCCGAGACGGGCGGATCACGAGGCCAGGAGATCGAGAGACGATCCCGGCTAACACGGTGAAACCCCGTCTCTACTAAAAAATACAAAAAACTAGCCGGGCGAGGCGGCAGGCGCCTGTAGTCCTAGCTACTCGGGAGGCTGAGGCAGGAAAATGGCGTAAACCCAGGAGGCGGAGCTTGCAGTGAGCTGAGCTCCGGCCACAGCACTCCAGCCTGGGCGACAGAGCGAGACTCCATCTTAAAAAAAAAAAAGAGTATTTCCTCCCTGGAGAGCCTTCCCTTTTGCCCTTTCTTGCCCTTTGCCTAATCAAAGTCTTTCCTGATGTGCTCCACCAGACGTGGTTGACATTCCTTTGTCTGTGTCCCCATGGCATTAAGAAAGCTATCACAGGCCAGGTGCAGTGGCTCACGCCTGTCATCCCAGCACTTTGGGAGGCTGAGGCGGGTGGATCCCTTGAGGACAGGAGCTCGAGACCAGCTTGGCCAACATGGGGAGACCCTGTCTCTAGCAAAAAATAAAAAAATTAGCCAGGAGTGGTGGCATGCACCTGTAGTTCCAGCCACTTGGGAGGCTGAGGCAGGAAAATCACTTGAACCTGGGAGGCAGGGGTTGCAATGAGCTGTGATTGCGCCACTGCGCTGTAGCCTGGGTGACAGAGTGAGACCCTGCCTCAAAAAAAAAAAAAAAAAAAGAAAGAAAGAAAGCCATCACAGTAAAGAATGGGAAGGTATTCAGGATCCTGTCTCTCCTAAAGTTGGAAAGACTCTTAATCATGGCATTGGATGAACATTGATTGTTATTTATTTATTGGATTCTGCAGGGTTGCCCAGGCTGGCCTGGAACTCCTGGACTCCAGTGATGCCTCTACCTCAGCCTCCCAAGCAGCTGGGATTATAGGCTCATGCCACCTGGCCCAGCTTTGGAGATTTTTTTTTTTAACTGGAAGTTTTTAGGGATGAAGTTGTAACTAATTATGTAGAGACTCAAGCTAGCAAATTTAGAAAAACCGTACAGGAAGAAAACCCTGTTAGTGAATTTTTTTTTTTTTTTTGAGACGGAGTCTCACTCTGTGGCCCAGGCTGGAGTGCAGTGGCACGATCTGGGCTCACTGCAAGCCCCGCCTCCCGGGTTCACGCCATTCTCCTGCCTCAGCCTCCCGAGTAGCTGGGACTATAGGCGCCCGCCACCGCGCCCGGCTGATTTTTTGTATTTTTAGTAGAGACGGGGTTTCACTAGTTTAGCCAGGATGGTCTCGATCTCCTGACCCTGTGATCCGCCCACCTCAGCCTCCCAAAGTGCTGGGATTACAGGGGTGAGCCACTGCACCCAGCCTGATAGTGAATTCTGATAAGAGAGTTAGAAAAAGGGATGAAGACCCAAAGATTAACAGCTTAGACATATGCTGGGGACTTGCTGAACACTGGCTGAATGAATAGGTAGGACAGCCATGGCCAGGGGCGGGGTGGGTTCTCTCGACTTCATTTTTGACTGACACTTTTTCTTTTCCCAGATATTTCTTCTTGCAGCTAGAAAGCGGAAAAAGAGCAAAACAGCCAACTACCTCATCTCCACTGATCCAGTTGATTTATCTCGTGAAGGAGAAAGTTATGTCGGCAAGCTTAGGTGAAAGCAACCTTAGATCCCTGTCCTATTCTTTCTGATAGTCTTATTCCTATAGTTGCAGAACAGTTCATATCTTGGTTACAACTAGCATGTATTGATGTTGTAATCTTAAAAAAAAAAAAAAGAAAAAAAGAAAAGAAAAACAAAAAAGGCTGGGTACAGTGGCTCACACCTGTAATCCCAGCACTTTGAGAGGCCAAGGGGGTGGATCACTTGAGGTTAGGAGTTAGAGTCCAGCCTGGCCAACATGGCAGAAACCCCTTCTCTACTAAAAATACAAAAATCAGCTGGGTGTGGTAGCACGTACCTATAATTCCAGCTACCCAGGAGGCAGAGGTTGCCATGAGCCAAGACAGCACCACTGCACCCCAACCTGGGTAACAGAATGAGAGTCTGTCTCAGAAAAATAAAAAAATAAGTGTGGTGTGGTTGCTTAGGCCTGTAATCCCAGCATTTGTGGAGGCTGAGGTTGGAGGATCACTTGAGGCCAGGAGTTTGAGACCAGTCTGGGCAACACATTGAGACATCTCTTCAAAAATTTTTAAAATTAGCCAGGCATGGCAGTGCTCGCCTGTAGCCCCAGCTACCCAGGAGGCTAAGGTGGGAGGATGGCTTGAGCCTGGGAGTTTGAGGCTGCAGTGAGCTATGATCCCTGCCACTGCACTCCAGCTGGGTGACAGAGCGAGAACCTGTCTCAGATGAATGAACAAGTAAATAAAAAGTTAAAAGAAAATCTCAGTTCCTTCCTTGCTTTAATGAGATATTTTTGAAAAAGTGATGAACATTTAGACATTTGGAAAATAGGCTTCCATTTTCCTTCTCTTAGATTGTGTTTGTATAAGAAAAAAAATTACAGATCATCTTGGTGACTTTTTCTCCTGACTCCAGATCCAACCTCATGGGGACCAAGTTTACCGTTTACGACCGTGGTATCTGCCCCATCAAGGGCCGGGGTCTGGTAGGAGCGGCCCACGCCCGGCAGGAGCTGGCCGCCATCTCCTATGTGAGTGCTGCTTTCCCAAGGCCCACTTCCTGCCCTCCTGACGTCATGCTGGCACTTTTCACCTAGTGTCGCCTAAGAACCTCCCCTCCCAAGCTTGTTTCTATTTCTGATTTCTGTTGCTGTACCACTTTCTCCAAGTATTTGAGTTTTAGTTATCTGAATTGCCAAGTTCAATTATTTTTCACTCTCAGAATATTTCTTCCCTTATTTCCTCTTCTTTTTTCCTGCTGCCACTTAGTTCAGACCTTTACTTCTTATCCAGTGGCCAAAGGTTACAATAAATTGAAGCTGATCTTTTTTTGCTTTTAATCTTTTCCTATCTAGTTCATTCTCTTTTTTCTCTTTTTAATCTTTTTATTTTTTTCCTCTTTTTGGCATTTATAGTTCACTTCTTTTTAAATTTCATCTTATTATTTGTTTTATTGTACTTTTTCATTTTATTTCACACCCAGGAAAGACCTGAGAACTATCTAGCTCATTCTCTACTGCTACCAAATGAATCTTCCTAAAACAAGGCTCTAGTTGAGCCTCCTGTTCTGCTGCAGACCTTTTAGTGACTACCCATTGTGGAAGATCTAACATGGCAGCATTTGCTTTCAGACTCCTCTGTCGGCTCACCCCCGCTTCCCATCATTCTAGCGAAGCAGCCCTCCTGTCGTTCCCTTGTCCAACCACACTCCTCTTTCCTCCTTGGAGAGGCTTCCCTTTTCCTCTTTCTTGCCTTTTGCCTTATCAAAGTCTTTTCTGAGTACTCCACTAGATGTGGTTGACATTCCTTTGTCTGTGTCCTTGTGGCATTTGTAACCCACATGTACTTGTTATTATTTGTTCAACATGAACCGTCTCCACCAGTTTGTAAATTCTTGCGAACTCTTACTCATGGCTGTATCCATACCAGCACATGGCCTGGCACACAGTAGGTATTCAAAGAGTTGTTGAGTAAGAGAAAGCAAGAAGGAATTGACCCATCTCAGCTGGTTTTTTTATTCCAAAGTCTCAACTTTCTGAAGTTGAAATTAATCCCATGAGATCTTATCTACATGCCTGAGAACCATTTGACTTCAACACTTTGATGTAAAGTGTCTTTCCTCTATAGCTTTCATACATAATCTGCTTAGCTTGGCTGGGCTTGATGGCTCACACCTGTAATCCCAGCACTTTGGGAGGCTGAGGCGGGCAGATCACTTGAGCCCAGGAGAGACCAGCCTAGGCAACATGGTGAAACCCTGTCTCTATTAAAAATACAAAAACTAGCTGGGCGTGGTGGCAGTCACTGGAGTCCCAGCTACTGGAGGCACTGAGGCAAGAGGATCACTTGAGTCTTAGGAGGGTCGAAGCTGCAGTGAGCTGTGATCACGCCATGCACTCCAGCCTGGGCGACAGCATGAGATCCTATTTTAAAAATAATAATAATCGGCCAGGCGCGGTGTCTCATGCCTGTAATCCCAACGCTTCAGGAGGCTGATGCGCGTGGATCACCTGAAGTCAGGAGGTCGAGACCAACCTGGCCAACATGGCAAAACCCTGTCTCTACTAAAAATATAAAAAAATTAGCCAGGCGTGGTGGCAGGCACCTGTAATCCCAGCTACTCAAGAGGCTGAGGCAGGAGAATCGCTTGAACCCAGGAGGCAGAGGTTGCACTCCAGCCTGGGTGACAGAGCAAGACTCCGTCTCAAAATAAAATAAGAATAATCTGCTTGGCTTGACAGGCATTTTTAACATCTAGTGCGGGCCTTAATTAACCACAACTCATTCTCACTGTATGTAATCTAGTGCCATGCCCTCACTGGGAAATAAATATGTGTTGGTGCTGACAAAGTTGGGCAGTTTGTTCACAGTTATCTCAAATCTCATTTAAGACTCAAGAGTAAGAGGCTGGGCGTGGTGGCTCACTCCTGTAATCACAGCACTTTGGGAGGCCGAGATGGGCGGATCACCTGAGGTCGGGAACTGGAGACCAGCCTGACCAACATGGAGAAACCCTGTCTCGACTTAAAAAAAAAAAAAATACAAAATTAGCTGGGCGTGCTGGCGGGTGCCTGTAGTCCCATCTACTCAGGAGGCTGAGGCAGGAGAATGGCATGAACCCGGGAGACAGAGCTTGCAGTGAGTCGGGATTGCGCCACTGCACACCAGCCTGGGCGACAGAGCAAGACTCTGTCTCAGAAAACAAAACAACAACAACAAAAAGTTATATTTATATATATTTATATATATATTTATATATTTTTATATATATAAAGAGATCTATTACTTTCCTGTTTTTGACTCTCTGTTTATAGCAAAGTAATAAAATTATTTTTGGTACACATGATTTATTATATTTTTTATTTATTTATTTTTTTGGCAGAGTCTCACTCTTGTCGCCCAGACTGGAGTGCAATGATGCGATCTTGGCTCACTGCAGCCTCTGCCTCCTGGGTTCAAGCAATTCTCCTGCCTCAGCCTCCTTAGTAGCTGGGACTACAGGCACTCGCCACCATGCCTGGCTAGTTTTTGTATTTTTAGTAGAGACAGGGTTTCACCATGTTGGCCAGGCTGGTCTGGAACTCCTGACCTCAGGTGATCTGCCCACCTCAGCCTCCCAAAGTTCTGGGATTACAGGCGTGAGCCACCGCCCCTGGCTGGTACACCTGATATTGTAAGCATCTTACGTTCCCAAGAAAGTCTTATGTTATAAAAGAATGTGGTCTCTATTTTTCTCCTGTTTCCAAGTTCTGCCTTGTTTTCCTATCTTCCAGGAGACAAACGTACTTGGATTTAAAGGTCCTAGGAAAATGTCTGTGATCATTCCTGGAATGACACTGAATCATAAGCAGATCCCATATCAGCCACGAAACGTGAGTAAGAACATATTCAAATCAGCAAAAGACTCTAAAAGACAGTAGTACAATACAGAGAGGTTAATACAAAAAAAAAAAAATTGAGCTTCCAGAGCCCCACACTGGAGCATGGCTCCATACCCTTCTTCAGGAGAGCTGCCCTCCAGAACCTCAGGATAAGAGCAGTTGCAGAGTCGTTGCCTTGAAACCATGTTTTCTTCAAAGAGAAATGCTGGATAATGTAGAATAATTTTAAAAACCTGTCTTCATTGTTGGCTTTCATTCTTTGCTTCTGGTTTACCCTTTTCTGAAATGGAGAAAGGATTCTCCTCCTCTACCTTCTGCCTCGTGCAGTTGTAGGCTTGTCAGTTACAAAGTAATGATTTTCCCTTTGGACAGAACCATGACAGTTTGCTCTCAAGGTGGCAGAACAAAACTATGGAAAATCTCATTGAACTGCACAACAAGGCCCCCGTCTGGAACAGTGACACTCAGTCCTATGTCCTCAACTTTCGTGGCCGGGTCACTCAGGCATCAGTGAAGAACTTCCAGATAGTCCACAAAAATGACCGTAAGCCTCCGGGAAGGGCTGGGTAGGAAGAGGAGGATAGACGCTCTTACAGGATGGGAAATGCACATTCCCTGTATGCGATAGGAAATGATAGTCAGGAGATAATCATGGAGGAGAGAAAGGATTTCTTTGGAAAGATGAAACTACAGTTTTGGAGAAAACTTGTGAATCACTGTGTTGAGGAGGGGGGAGGAGTGTGAGAGATATGCTATAGCAAATCAGAAAAGTTGGCTGGGCATCATGGCTCACGTCTGTAATCTCAGCACTTTGTGAGGCTGAGGTGGGCAGATCGCTTGAGACCAGGAGCTTAAGACTAGCCTGGGCAACATGGTGTGAAACCCCATCTCTACAAAAAATAGAAAAAATTAGCTGGGCCTGGTGGCAGGCACTTGTAGTCCAAGCTACCTGGGAGGCTGAGGTGGGAGCATCACTTGAGCCAGGAGGTCGAGGCTGCAGTGAGCCGAGATTGCGTCACTGCACTCCAGCCTGGGCGACAGAGCGAGACTCCGTCTCAAAAAAAAAAAAAAAAAAATCAGAGAAGTCACAGAGTAGGTTGTTTGGGAAACAAAGGCAAATGACCCCAATAAAGGTTCCTGGCACCTCTAGCCTACGGAGCTTGTGACGTTGCCAGCAAGCCGCTCTCTATTCTACAGAAACCTGGTGATTAACTGGCCTATTTGGAGGATTCTTTCTATATCATAAACAGGTTTTCACTGGGCCAGTAATCCCAGCACTTTGGGAGGCCGAGGCAGGAGAATCACTTTCGCCTAGGTGTTTGAGACCAGCTTGAGCAACACACTGAGACCCTATCTTCACAAAAAGTAAAATACTAGCCAACCACGGTGGTGCTTGCCTGTAGTCCCAGCTACTGAAGAGGCTGAAGTGGAAGGATCACTTGAGCCTGGGATGGGAGGTCAAGGCTGCAGTGAGCTGTGGTCATTCCACTAGGCTCCAGCCTGGGCGACAGAGCAAAACCCCAACTCAGAAAAGGAAGAAAAAAAAAGTTTTCCCCTAGTGCAACCACATTATATTCTAACATCTTGATTTCCTTGTGTTTCTAGCTGACTATATAGTCATGCAGTTTGGACGTGTAGCAGATGACGTGTTCACACTGGACTACAACTACCCACTTTGCGCAGTTCAGGCCTTTGGCATCGGTCTTTCTAGCTTTGACAGTAAGCTGGCATGTGAATGACAGAACAATCAGGCAGGGGGCCTTTCTCCCCACAGAGCTTTCAGGAGCGGACAGTGGCCTCCTCTTCCCCTCCCTGCCCCAGGACTTGAAGAGCAATAGTTTGCCCCTTTTGGAATGATCCCTGAATTTATAAAACACACACACGAAAAGCAGTAGTTTGCCCCTTTTGGAATGATCCCTGAATTTATAAAACACACACACGAAAAGCAATAGTTTGCCCCTTTTGGAATGATCCCTGAATTTATAAAACACACACACGAAAAGCAGTAGTTTGCCCCTTTTGGAATGATCCCTGAATTTATAAAACATACACACACGAAAAGCAATAGTTTGCCCCTTTTGGAATGATCCCTGAATTTATAAAACACACACACGGAAAGCAACAGTTTACCCCTTTTGGAATGATTCCCTGAATTTATAAAACACATACACGAAAAGCAATAGTTTGCCCCTTTTGGAATGATCCCTGAATTTATAAAACACACACACACCCCGTGCACTCTACTCCTTTTCCAGGTTTCATAGACTTGGTGAGGGATCACAACTTAGCATGGTTGAGAGATGATTTAAAGCACAGTCATGTTCTTGTCACATATCGTCTCCTGAAGCTAGAGTGGGATTTCCTGTGCTTAGAAACTTGCAGTAGAATCAGGGACTGACATCGCAGTTCCTCTCCTCTCTTCATTCCCTCACAGCAGATTGGCCAGCACCAATCTTAGTCAGAGTGGCTGTGATCGCATTTGTGATCAATTATGTGAGAAGTGTATATAATTGTCTTCATTTCAATTAAGGCCGAAAGCATAAACTCTAGAGGTGACTCAGTCAAGACTGACAGTGATTTGATAATTGCCTTCATTTTCAACCCAGGAGTGCCTCCCACAGCTGTATCACTACGGATCCATTAGTGTGGAGCGACACACAACTGCAGGCATCTGGTGCAAACATTTTGTCATTATCAAGAGAGATGGCAGTATTGACCATTTAGTTTAGTTTAAAAAAAAAAAAAAAAGGTGGCAGGAGAGCTTTGGGGAGGACCAGCCAGCAGACATGAGCACTGCTGGCCTGTGTGGCAGAGCTTTGGACTTTGTTCGCGGCTCCCCCAACCCAGGTTCATAGGCATAGAAGGTATTTTGCTACATTTTTTGGATTATTACACCCCTCCACATATTATGTGACTCTTACACCAGTTCATCCCTCCCAGAATGTATCCAAACCTTGAGAATACGGGAGCTCTGTGAGCCCCACTGTCACCACCGCTGAGCTGCATCCCTTGTGCACAGAACTGTTTGCCAGCACTGGGTGGGACGTCCATGGCGGCTGCTCCCTCAGACTTCCCTTCTGTGGACAAACCGCTCACCCCTGCCTGTTGTTCCTGCACCACATCAGATAAGCACGTGAAGGAGAGCCAGCTGGGAGCTGCGGGACCCTTGGCTTTTCCCCCGCGACAAGTCCCACCTTCTGGGTGAGGACGAGACTGTTGACATCTCAGGCATGTTTCCCACCAAGTGCCTCCCTCACAGCCGTGCCCAGAAGCCTCACACCTCGTCACCACCACCACCCCTACCCCATCCTGAGGCACTGCCTGGCAGATTACCCTGGTTGACCGCAGAAGCTATTAATACACAACAGCATCTGGGGAAGGACTTATGGTGGGCCAGGTGGACCTCATCCTGCTTCCTCCTCCTCCCTCTGGTTTAAAGAGATATGTAAACTAATTTCACATAATTTGTGTGTGCAGGTGATTGGTTTTTACATAAGTCCTATTTATACCTTTTATATGTTATAGAAATAAAAGTTAATTTATATAAAAATGTGTCACTGCCTTTGCAAGTCCTGTGCCTCAGGAAGTTCCTACTGTCATGTTCCGTAATCATAATTGTCGTCTTGGGCCACGTGCAGTGGCTCACGCCTATAATCCCAGCACTTTGGGAGGTCGAGGCAGGCAGATTACGTGAGGCCAAGAGTTGGAGACCAGCCTGGCCAACATGGCAAAACCCCATCTCTACTAAAAATACCAAAATTAGCCAGGTGTGGTGGTGTGCGTCTGTAATCCCAGCTCCTCAAGAGGCTGAGGCATGAGAATCGCTTGAACCCGGGAGGCTGGGGTTGCAGTGAGCAGAGATCACACCATTGCACACCACCCTGGGCCACAGAGTGAGTCCCTTGCCTCAAAACAAAACAAAACAAAAAAAAAGTTTTGGTAACACAGTGAGCACATCAGTTCTTTAAAACCAGGTGATGACTAACAAACATGTCATCCTGATGCAGAACAGGAATCCGCAGACTAAGAAGGCTGTGTTCCAGAGGCTACCTAGACACGCTACACATGATGGCCGGGGGCGTCTGGACAGAAGACGGGACCAATAGCTGAGCTTAGCATGGCCAGAGGGTAGAGTGTATATTCTTTGGATGCCTGCCCGGGTCAGCTTCCCGGATTTGTTGTCATTCCTTACTGGTTCAGCAGCAACACAAATGAACCATCGAATAGTGAAATAGACCCCATCGCTTGCCTTTGAGTGTTAACTTCTTGTTTTTGTTTTTTGAGATGGAGTCTTGCTTTGTCACCCAGGCTGGAGTGCAGTGGGGGTGATCTCGGCTCACAGCAACCTCCTCTTCCCAGATTTCAGCAATTCTCCTGCCTCAGCCTCCTGAGTAGCTGGGACTACAGGCGTGCGCTACTACACCCAGTTAAATTTTTGTATTTTAAGTAGAGAAGAGGTTTCACCATGTTGGCCAGGCTGCAGGCTGGTCTCGCCTTGGCCTTCAAAAGTGCTGGGATTACAGGTGTGAGCCACCGCACCCAGCCTTTTTTTTTTTTTTTTTGAGACGGAGTCTGGCTCTGTTGCCAGGCTGGAGTGGAGTGGGGCGATCTCGGCTCATTGCAACCTCCGCCTCCTGGGTTCAGGTGACTCTCCTGCCTCAGCCTCCCGAGTAGCTGGGACTACAGGCGTGAGCCACCGCCCCCGGCGTTTTTTTTTTTTGGAGACAGGGTCTCATTCCCGTTGTCCAGGCTGGAGCGCAGTGGTGTGATCTTGGCCCACCACAGCCTCAACTTCCTGAGCTCAAGGGATCCTCCCACCTCAGCCTCCTGAGTAGCTAGAACAATAGGCATGTGCCACCAAGACTGGCTAATTTTTTGTTTTAAAGTAAAGACAGGGTTTCACTATGTTTTCCAGGCTCGAACTCCTGGGCTGAAGTGATCCTCCCACCTTGGCCTTACAAAGTGCTAGAATTAGAGGCATAAGCCACCGTGCCCGGCCTTCACATTTGAAAGCTGCTGTATGTTCAGAAGTTGATAAAAAATTGCTGGGTGTGGTGACTCATGCCCAGCACTTCAGGAGGCCGAGGTGGGAGGATCATTTGAGGTCAGGAGTTCAGATCAGTCAGGCCAACATGGCAAAACCCTGTCTCTACTAAAAAAAACAAAATTACCTGGGTGTGGTGGCAGGTGCCTGTAATCTCAGTTGCTTGGGAGGCTGAGGCAGGGGAATCACTTGGACTGAGAAGGCAGAGGCTGTAGTGAGCCAAGATTGTGCCACTGCACTCCAGCCTGTATGTGACTGCGTCTCAAAAAAAAAAAAAGTGTCCACAAAGCTTTCCTAGGCTTTCTGGCTCTTATCAGTGTCACAGTGATAAACACATGTAAAGAAGCAAGAAGAGCCTAAAAAGGCCGGGCGCGGTGGCTCAAGCCTGTAATCCCAGCACTTTGGGAGGCCGAGACGGGCGGATCATGAGTTCAGGAGATCGAGACCATCCTAGCTAACACGGTGAAACCCTGTCTCTACTAAAATACAAAAAAAATTAGCTGGGCGAGGTGGTGGGCGCCTGTACTCCCAGCTACTCGGGAGGCTGAGGCAGGAGAATGGCGTGAACCCGGGAGGCGGGGCTTGCAGTGAGCTGAGATCTGGCCACTGCACTCCAGCCTGGGCAACAGAGTCAGACTCCGTCTCAAAAAAAAAAAAAAAAAAAAAAGAAGAGCCTAAAAATCAGGACAAGAGCTGGAATCAATTCTTACAGCTTGATTTTTCCTTTTTTTTTTTTTTTTTTTTTTTAAGTCTTCAACATGCACAATGTGAATTGTTTTCTTTTTCATATGATTCTCTTTGGCTAAGGTGCATGCATGGCTGGCCAGTTTTTCTGTTTTTTTGAGACAGGGTCTGGCTCTGTTTCCCAGGCTGGAGTGCAGTGGTGTGATCTTGGCTCACTGCAACCTCCGCCTCCTGGGCTCAAACCGTCTTCCCACCTCAGTCTCCTGAGTAGCTGGGACTACAGGCGTCCACCACCAACAACTAATTTTTAAGTTTTTGGTAGAGACAGGGTTTCACCATGTTGCCCAGATTGGTCTTGAACTCCTGGACTCAAGCGATCCTCTCCCCTTGTCATCCCAGAGTGTTGGGATTACAGGTATGAGCTACCATGCCTGGCCCAAATAGATTCTTTGTGACACAGTTTTGTACACTAGTGATCAGGGACATACTGGTGGGCATTGAGATGAAAGATTTCAGCAAGTGTCAATTACAAGTCTAAAAACAGGCCTGCAAAAGGCTCTTTTTGATCAGTTTAATAGATCATAGAAGAAATGAACTAGCATCAATTCAATTCCTTGAGACCAGCATTGTAAGTGCAGAAATAAAGTGATGGTTCGACTAAGGCAAAATCTTCCCGGGTTCTGACCCTATTTCTGCCGATGATTTGCCTCCTTTATAGATTGAGAGGCTTTGAACTACCTGCCCTTTTACATTCTTGAATTACATGTTTCTCCCCACTCATGCTGACAACACTCTGGCATTCCCCTGTTTTGAGCTGAACTCACTGGTTACCCCTGGACAGCTTCATGCTGTTGATGGCTAAGGATGACTAGCAGGAGAGGTGACACAGAGCTCCGGGAAAGCACAGATGGCCTCAGAGAAGGCACCATGGAGAGGAGACTGGAATTGTGGAAGAAACAGGATCGTGCACTGAGAAATGTCCTCTTTATTCTACCAAGTACGATTTATTAGCCAACTTGACATTTGTCAATGTGGTTATAGTAACGAAGCAATTCTCTCAAGACACACACAGCTTGCTCCTAGAGAAAACTCCAGCATGTCGCAAGCTGCCTTTTTTCCTCAGCCTCCAGCTCCTGCCCGGGAATTGTCTGCACGTCTAACACCTGCTTCTCTTCAGTCCACAGTCCCACGCAGGCCCCAGCTAGGGGCATGCCAAGGACCTGCCAGTTTCTGTGCCACCTCCTGAGACACGTTTCCTGACCACTGGCATATTGGATCATTTTGCCTCCTTTCCTCGTTATCACTGGCAATGGATATGCTTTAAAAGTCTCACCGTCTTTTTTATCAACCAATAGACTCCCCTCATCCACTAAAAACGGGCTGCCACAAATGAAGGTGTGCGGTGGGAACTGTAGGTGGTTCCATGGCGCCACCTACTGTCCAGGAATGCATGTTGCAAGTGTGTTAAAATGGGCAGACCCCGCACAGGTGAGGAAGTCACCAGGCCTGAGTGAAAACAGCAAGCCGACCACATTACCATGCATTTGCCAAGCACCTCGTGTTATACCATGGCTCTCTTCTGAAAGCCTGAGAACACTAATATTTCTGGAGTTTAGAAACTAGTTAAGGTGCCGGGCTTGGTGGCTCACGCCTGTAATCCTAGCACTTTGGGAGGCCGAGACGGGCGGATCACGAGGTCAGGAGATCGAGACCATCCTGGCGAACACCGTGAAACCCCAGCTCTACTAAAAATACAAAAAATTAGCCGGGCGTAGTGGCGGACACCTGTAGTCCCAGCTACTCAGGAGACTGAGGCAGGAGAATGACATGAACCTGGGAGGCGGAACTTGCAGTGAACCAAGATCGCGCCACTGCACTCCAGCCTGGGCGACAGAGTGAGACTCCGTCTCAAAAAAAAAAAGAAAGAAAGAAAGAAAGAAAGAAAGAAAGAAAGCAACTAGTTAAGGTATTCCAGGTAAAATGCCCAGGATCTGGCTGGCACAGAATAAACACTTAGTGGCAGATATCTATATAATCTTTTTTTTTTTTATTTGAGGCAGGGTCTCACTCTGTTACTTAGGCTGGATGGCAGTGGCATGATCTCACTGCAGCCTTGACCTTCTCAGGCTCAAGTGATCCTCCCATTTCAGTCTCCCGAGCTGCTGGGATACGGGCGTGAGCTACCACGCCCAGCTAATTTTTTTTTTTTTTTTTTTCTGTATTCTGTAGAGATGGGGTTTCATCATGTTGCCCAGGCTGGTGTTGAACTCCTGAGCTCAAGCAATCCTCCCACCTCAGCCTCCCAAAGTGCTGGGATTACAGATGTGAGCCGTCGTGCCCGGCCATCATTTTTATTAATGTTCTTTCAAAATAAAACAATGAGCTGGGAATGGTGGCTCTCAACAGTAATCTCAGCATTTTGGAAGGCTAAGGTGGGAGGATCGCTTGAGCCCAGGAGTTCCCAGACCAGCCTGGGCAACATAGGGAGACCCCATCTCTGCAAAAATAAATCAGCCAAGCACTGTGGCACGAGCCTGTAGTCTCAGCTACTCCGGAGGATGGCTTGAGCCTAGGAGGCCACAGTGAGCCGAGATTGTACTACTGCACTCCAGCCTGGCGTGAAACCCTGTCTCTAAGAAAAAACATAACAGGGCCGGGCGCGGTGGCTCACGCCTGTAACCTCAGCACTTTGGGAGGCTGAGGTGGGTGGATCACGAGGTCAGGAGATCGAGACCATCCTGGCTAACACGGTGAAACCCCGTCTCTACTAAAAATACAAAAAAAAAAAATTAGCCGGGTGTGGTGGCGGGCGCCTGTAGTCCCAGC